TTCATATTATTATTATTATTTTTTTTTTTTTGGAGACAGAGTCTCGCTCTGTTACTTGGACTAGAGTGCTGTGGCATCAGCCTAGCTCACAGCAACCTCAAACTCCTGGGCTTAAGCAATCCTTCTGCCTCAGCCTCCCGAGTAGCTGGGACTACAGGCATGCGCCACTATGGTTGGCTAATTTTTTCTATATATTTTTAGTTGTCCAGCTAATTTCTTTCTATTTTTTTAGTAGAGATGGGGTCTCGCTCTTGCTCAGGCTGGTTTCAAACTCCTGACCTCGAGCTATCCTCCCACCTTGGCCTCCCAGAGTGCTAGGATTACAGGCGTGAGCCACTGCACCTGGCCTTAAAATTCATATTAAATGTGACCTCACTGTGCCCTCCCAGGAAACTCTGCTGTGCCCTCAACCTCCTCCCCAGTTGGACCAAATTATCCAAGTCAGGCTGGTAGCTGGACCAGACTTCAATCCTGGAGAGGAAAAATCTTGGCAGCCCAGGCACCTTTCTTCTGGATGATACTATCCTAGTACAAGTCCAGGATCCCTTCTCTTCTCCACTATTCTGCTGTCTGAATTCTCTCCTGACCTCCTCTCCTCCTTCTCTCTCATCCTCAGAAAAGCTCGATTTACTACTTCTGGAGGCTTCTTCCGTCTGTAGTTGGGAAATGAGCAACTGCATGCCTGTTTGAGGCTAAGGAATGGAGGTGGCAGTGACAAGAGTCACCACCAGAGAGAGCCTGTGCCTAAAACGAGCCTGAGTGGGGGCCTAGAGGAGCCACTTCGAGGATTTTTTTCTTTTCAGGGCAGTAAGGCTGCCAAGCCTTCCATCCTGGGGTAGCTTCCTATGGACCTGGGAGTCTAGAGCTGCCTTCTCCCCGCTTTCTGACTCTCCCTCTCTTTTCCTGACCACCCAGGTCAGTGTGAAGCAAACCTGGTGCATCTGCACAATGTGGAATACTTCCCAAGGACAGGTTCCCTGACAGCCATATTCAGCAGGAGGTTCAGTCTTCCAGTCCTTTGACTTCAACCCACAACTCCCATTAACCACTGCTGCCCATCCCTCCCCTGGAACCTCATTGACTCAGGTGTTCCCATCCCTGCTCCTCTCCTGATTTGGGGATCAGGTGGCCCTGGGTAGTACTAGCTGTAGATTCCTTCCACCCCCACCCCAACTGCCAAGACGGCCCCAGTTCAGTGGCTTTCCCACCCCCACCCCCTACTGCCCCAGGTGGCCTGGTCCTTCCTTCAGCTCCACCTGACTTCCATCGATTTCAGGTCTGGATTAACCAGTCAGTCTGGCCTATGGGAAGAAGGGAAGAAAGCCAGAGAATCTCTAAGGCTCAGAGGCTAATCCCTTCTTCTCACCCCTGTCAGTTTCTTCATCCACAATAATTGTTAAACCTATTATGGACCTGGCATTGTGATACATACTAAGGATATAAAAATACAAATAACCATGGTCTCTGCCCTCAAGAAACTTGTATACTAATCAGGGAAACGAACAAATAACCAGGCAATCACCACACAAAAAAGAGTGGGCCCGGTGTGCGGTGGCTCATGCTTGAAATCCTAGCACTTTGAGAGGCTGAGGCAGGAGGATTGCTTGAGGCCAAGAGTTCAAGACCAGCCTGGTCAACATAGGAAGATCCACTCGCCACAGAAAGATTTAAAAATTGAACATAGTGGTATACACCTTTAGTCTTAGCTACTGGGGAGGCTGAGGTGGGAGGATCACTTGAGCCCAAGAGTTCAAGGCTACAGTGAGCTATGATCAGGCCACTGCAGTCCAGCCTGGGAGACGGAGCCAGATTCTGTCTCAAAAAATAAAAAAAAAAAAAAGAAAAAGAAAAAAAGTGGCTGGAGAAAAGACCAGAGAGAGGCAGGGCCAGACACAAAGGAAGGGATATCTTTGTTAGGAGTCTGGCCTTTACCCTGAATATTGGACTAGGTGCTGCACTTGATCAGATTTGTTTGTTATAATGCTCTGGTTAATCAAGGTTAGATTTGAGGACATAGGGATAACAACTAGAAAGCCACTGTAACAGTCTCAATGACAGGCAGCCAGGACTAGGCTGAAGGCAGGGTCGGGGTATGGGAGGAGAACAGGAGTGGTCCTTGGATACTGGCCTACACCAGGTCCAATTTCCTGCAGGCCACATGTAGAAGAAGCGGTGAGGCTCTGACCTCTGACCCTTGCAGAGGTTGGAGAAGATGAGGGTTGGTGTAGTCCTGTGGTCTGGCCATTGGGCAGTGTGGAGACTGTGGACTGTGTTCGGATAGTGGATCCCTTGGTGAGGAAAAGGACTTGCAGAACTGGGGCTGGCAAGGTTGGGAATAGGGGTGGGGTGTAGGGAAGTGAAAGGAGGGATTGGGCCCCCAAGGCCACACAGGCAGGTAGAGGAGCCTTATGCTTTGCTTCCCCTCCTTAGCCCAGAGTGCTTGCTGGTACTGTGCACAGTGCTCCTCTGGCCTAGCTTTGTCTTCACCTTCCCATTTTCCAGAGGCTACTGCCATGTGAACCTGAGAAAGCTCTGGAGGTGAGGCACACCTATGGAAGTTCTCCTGCCCCTTGACTTAAGATCCTCCCCCTCACCTACCCAGAACTTCAGACCCTCCCATCTTCTCTTGTCCAGGAACCTTGGATCTGAGACTTTGTCCACTACTCAAAATCTTTAGCCCCAGAACTTCCCCTTTTTCTCAGGTACCCAAGGTCAAGGACTGCACCTTCTGGATCTCCCTTTTCCTCAGGTCCCAACATCTTGTTCAAGGACCCTTCTTCCTACATGAAAAACCTCAGAGTTGGGATCTCCATCCACTTATTCAGAGATCTCTGACTCAGGAAGACCACATTGGGTCATCTCTCTGATGGCCCTCTCACATGTTCCATCAAAACCCAGTCATGTGAAGATATCTGCATCCCTGAGCTATTTTCCAAAGTCCTCAGATGCGGTTTGGGATCACTTGCACCCTCCACACTGGAGATGGGGGATGAATATGGGCCAATGTAATCAAGCACCCAGCCTCTAAAGACAGGTAAGAGTTACCATCTAAGCCCCTCTAATCTGTGCTGTAGATGCTCTTATTTCTTAGCTTGGGGAGTCAGCAGGAATGTGGGCCTCCTCCACCCACAGGAGGCCCTGCTAGTAGGTGGTCCCAAGGGATTTCCTGGAGCCGTACAACTCTATGGAAAAACCTGGCCTTCTTTCTTTGCCCATGCTCCAGAGGCCCATAAAGTAGGAGGACCTTCTCTGGTCCTCCGGGCAGGGAAGGAGGACCAAGCTAAACCTCAGGCTGAGAAGCAACAGTAATTCAGCAGGATCATGAACAGGAAGAAGCTTCCAGCTTTTATCTATCCCCAGCTTCCCACTGAGCAGCCATAATTGGCCCAGCCTCAAGACCAAGACAATAAGGAGCTCCTCCCAGACCAGGAAGGGGCTGAGGTGGAGGCCCAGGGAGGAACTATCCCTATCCCTGGGCTTCTGGGAAGAGCAGTAGCTTAAGGGCTGGTAGCTTAACTCTCAGTGTTGGTAGACAGCCTGGTTTGAGGGCCAGGACAAGGGCCCTCTAAGTGCTAGATGAGGCCAAGGTGCTATCCCAAGACTTCAGTGAGGCTGAGGAACCATTCCAGGACTTGGCCATGCAGATGAGCCACATCGGGATCTCCATGAGGCTGAAGAGTTAACATTAGCTATGGATAGGACTGAGAGCTATTCCCTTCCCTCGGGAGACTAAGGAACTGTCCCTAGTCCCATATGAGCCTAAGAGTCCACCTTAAGCCCACAATGAGCCTGTGTAGAATGCAAGCTGCAAGTCCCAGCTGAGGACAAAGCTGGGCAGTCCTAACCTTGGCCCCAGCCTTGGACAAGGAGTTGCTGGGGCTCAGGGTGATGGTGAGTAGCAGCATCCAGAGCCCTACCCTAAGCTAGATCCAGGCCGAGGGGTCACTTGGGTAGAAGTGGGCATAGAGCCCAGGCCTCTTTGGACATGATCTTGTTTAACAAATCCAGACACACATCAGTCTGTGCTATAGATGCTCTTATTTCTTGGCTTGGGGAGTCAGCAGGAATGTGGGATCCTCCAAGTAGCTCTGCTCCAGTGAATCTTGTTATTAATACTAAGCCAGAGAATTCTGCAGGGAGCTCTCTTGTCTGTGGCAAATCTTCCCCTAAACCAGAGGCTACTCCAGGAACCCTGGGTGAAACAGGCATGGACCCACAGCCCACTGCAGTTCCATCTGGGAGCAAGAGAGCCCTGGGGAGAGGAAGGGTGTAGCTTTGCAGTGCCCCTCCTCACAACAGGCTAGAGAAGCTAGCATTGAGCCAGGGATGAGGAGTGCATCCAAGCTCGAGCAGGTAGGAGCTCTTGGGTGGTTGAGTGAGGTGACTCTAATCTTAGAGTTGCTACTTTCTAGCTGACTGACCTTGGTCAAGTCACTTAATTTTTCTAAATCTCTATTTCCTCACCTGTAAAATGGGGATACTATTATTAAATAGTACTTTCCCCATAGGATTATGAGAAGCATTAAATGGGGGATTATATAAAGACCAGCAGAGTGCCTGGCACATATTAAATGCTCATAAATGTCGATTACTTTCATGATTGGAAGTATATGCTTTAGCCAAAAGACCCAGATCCAGGCTGGCATGGTGGCTCACACCTGTAATCCTAATGCTCTGGGAGGCTGAGGCAGGTGGATCGCTTGAGCCTAGGAGTTTGAGACCAGGCTGGGCAACAGTGAGATCTGTCTTTACAAAAAATAAAATAATTAGCTGGGCGTGGTGGTGCATGCCTGTAGTCCTGACTGCTTAGGAGGCTGAGGCAAGAGGATTGAATAAGCCCATGAGTTGGAGGCTGTAGTGTGCTATGATGACGCCACTGCACTCTAGCCTAGGCAACAGAGCAAGACCCTGTTTCAAAAAAAAAAAGATCCAGATCCAACCACTCCCTCTATAACCCACAACCTCTGAGACCCTCAGCTGTTTAAAAACACACATCTGTGTATATATTAAATTGTGTATATATTTAACGCATACATATATATCTTAAAAATTGCTTCAGAAGACAGAAGAGATTGCATATACAGTTTCTACCACGGCCCCCTCCAACTCCTAGGCACCCTTCCCTGATCAGTGTGTCCCAGAAATGATTTCCTATGTCAATCACACAGAGGCCTTGTCCAGATGGTGCCCAAGCCTCTAGGCCTCAGTGGTCTGATGCCTGGAGGGTAGTCATAAGTCCCGAGGTGGAGCAGGTGGTGGAGTGCCCGGGTCCCATAGGATGTCCTCATATAGACTTAGAACTGGGCCTGAGGGCCGTCCTTGAGCCCCAGTCTGCTCCAGCAGGGTTCTGAGCAAGCCCACAGTGAGAGGAGCCTCTGCCCCAGGCTCAGGAAATGGGGTGGGGGGCCCCACCTCATCTGGAAGGTATGTCCGCAGTAGAAGCAGGATCTCAGCTGGAGCCAGTTCTGGTGGGCACAGGAGGCCAAGGAGTGGGAGGTGAGCATCAAGCTGGCGGTGTTGGGCAAACTCGGCCAGCAGCAGTTTGAAGATCTCACTCCTAAGCAGAGGGCTGGAAGGGCCGAGGGCCAGGCCAGCATCCAGAGCCCGCTCCCACTGTTCCTTTTGCACCAACTGCCCTACAGCTTGAAGCACAGCTTTAGGTCTCCCACTGCCCAAGAGCAGCTCTAGCTCCAGTGCCTCAGGCCTGGCCCCCTCCTCACCTAGCACTGCCAGGGCACGGCGATACAGGGGCAACCCCGGGCTCCCTGCCCCCCAGCCCGGCCCACCCTGCTGCTGTGCCAGCTCCACAAAGGGTGGCAGCCATCGAGGCTCCAACCGGCAGAGGCATTGGCACAGGAGTTCAAAGGGGGGCAGTATCCCATTAGGGGGTTCATTTCCAGGTGTTGTACTCCATAGCACCTTCTTCCATACATCTGGTGGAGCTTGAGACCTTAGCTTGCCATTCCCATCTGGCTGGAGCTGCAGGGTCCTAAGGGTGGCAGCCCAGGCTGCTGTAGGAAGGGCTTGGAAAACAGTGTTGAGTTGGGCCAGACGGTCTCCTATCAACTCGGTCCTCAGCAGGCGAGCCACTTCCTGCTCTGCCAGCTCAGTCCAGCCAGCCTCCTCATCATCCCCAGCCACCAGCTGAGCCTTGAGCTGCTCTAAGCCTCGATAATCCCGAAGCTCAGCCCTCAATGTGGTCAACAGTGTAGATGGGGGCAAGTGGCCCTGGAGGATGGAGGCTAGAGCTTGAGGTGCCCGGAATGTGCTATTGTGTCTCAGTTCCTCTGGGGTGAGCTTGGCACCCCGCAGGCTCCGCTGCTGGTAGTACCCGCAGGCCTCCTCAAACACGAGGTCCTTGGCTGAAGGCAGCTCTACACCCTGGGGGGCTTCCCAGCCCACACAAAACAGACCCAAGGCTGAAAGCAAACGAAGACCCCCTCGGGTGTCCAGCTCTGACTCATCCTCCATGCCAGGGCCTGGGGGTTCCAGCATATGTACTCTGTCTGTACTTAGGACCTTCCTCTCCAGCAGCTGCCCACTGCCCATGTCCAGCAGTTCCAAGGTAGAGCCCAGCACACAAGCCAGAGTGCCGTGAAATGTTCCCAGGGCTGCAGATCCCTGAAGGCCTACAGGGGCCTCCTGCAGAGTGCCCACAGTCCGGGTACCACCGTGGGACTGCACTAGGTGCACAGTGCCCTTGAAGTCAAGCAACAGCAGGCCCTGGGGAGTTGGGGCCCAGGTATGTACAGCCAATGGCTCCCTGGGGGACAATAACCCAGGAAGGCTTCGTAGCAGGGTCCGGAAGTCCCATGTGTCCCCTCGTCCTGGATTCAGGCTCTTACTGTGGGAGAGGCCAAGACATGGGGCAGCCACCATCACTTTGCCCTTGCCTAGGCTCCAGATGAGCAGAATGTGGGCCACACCAGGCCAGGTGGTGGCAGTGGGCACCAGGAACAGGTCTTTGCGGAAGGCCAGCAGCCCAAAACGGGGGCAGTGGTGTAGCAGGACATGTGTGCGGCCCAAATTGGTGCTGGCCTCCCCGCTGGGCTCCAGGGTGCGGAGGCACACGCAGTGGCTGAAAGCGGCTGCAGGTGGACCAAGCCGGCCCTCAGTACCGATCCGACGCTCCTCGCACCACACCAGGCGGCCTCGGGGCACCGCCACGGCCACCACGCGGGCTCCACCGCCCGGACACAGCTCGGTGCTCTGCAGTAGCCGCCAGCTAGGCCCCACCCCCGCGCCCCACACCTCGGCTAGGCCACTCTCCCACACCAGGACCAGCGCAGGTCGCGCCGGCCACGGCAGGAAGAAGGCGTCTAGTGGTGAGGGCTGGCCGGTCGGCCAGGAACGCTCCAGTTCCGAGCCGGGTCCACGCACCGCGACCAGCAGCTGCGGGGCCGGCGCCCCGGGGGGTCGCAGCAGCAGCAGGTGGCGGCCGTCCGCGCTGCAGCGGACTCGGACCGCTGGGTCCCCGGCCAGCAACTCCCGGAGCCGGGCCGCGCCGCTGAAGTTGCTCAGGTCCGAGAGCAGACGCAGAGTCCCCGCACGCTTCATGGTGCCACCCCCTCCGGAGCACACCCAGGCCGGAGGCCCGTCTCTGTCTGTGGTTCCGCGGGTAGTCGAGAGTCGGGCTGTGACTTCCGTCCCCCGTCGATGAGGTGAGCCGAGGCCGGGTAGGACTATCGACTCCGCCCCGCCCGCCAGGCTAGCTCTGGGATTGCCCCCGCCTGCGCCGGGCGGCGCGACACGCCCGCCAGGGGAGGAGCCTCCGCAGCACCCAAGGGTCTCAGCGCCTCAGACCTCGCCTGCCTTAGGGATGTTCTCCTAGTCGGGATGTAGGCCTGCTGCCCCAGGCCCCAGGAAGCCGCGGAGTGGCCCCGAATTGCGAGCGTCCCTCTCCCAAGGCTTTCACCCCAATTTACGCATTCATTTATTCATGAGATTTTTATTGCGCACATACTTTGTGCAAGGCTCTGAGTAGACAGCCCTGAACAAAATAGAAAACTTCAACCTCATGGAGATGATGATCTAATGGAAATAATAGTTAACACTTCCACAGCACTTCCTATGTGACAGCTTTTTCTGCACCTAGCCTTCCTCTTTTGCAGATACGGAAGGAAAATGAAGCAGAGAGATTAAGCAATCTGGCTGAGATCACACGGGTATTAAGTGGTAGAGGTGGGATTTCAACCACAGGCCATCTGGCTCCAGACTTAGTCCACCAAACCACTTTATCATAGCAACAATTCACCCAAACCAACAGTTTGCTAGAAAAAAAAAAAGAAAGAAAGAAAACTTAGAGGCACTGAGTTTGTGTGTCATCTCTCCAGTGGTGACGCCTACAAATTTACATGCAGGGTCCTTCCACCCTTTGATTGCCCTTTCAAGTGAGTGGTAGTCCTCCTCTCTCCAAGGTCAATCCCTCTTTATGAGCCCTGCCTCTCCTCCCTCACCCCCATCTTTCTTGAGAACCTGCATCCATTTCTGTTTCATCAGCCTCATTCTGTGTTCTCATTTTCAGCATAGAAACACCCTCCAGTCTGTCTTGTCTTGGAATTCACTCTTTCATCCTCATCTCCCTACCTCCACCCCATCATTCCCTCTCCCTTTCCTTTCTCAGTCAAGTTTCTTGCAAAGATCCTCCACTTTCTTTCCTTCCATCCTCAGACCACTACTTCCTTGAAATAGCTTTTGCTGAGATCGTCAAGGACATTTTTATTTCCTTTTTTCTCTGAGACATTTGACAACTTTCTCACTGTCACCTGGACTAGAGTGCAGTGGCATCATCATAGTTCACTGCAACCTCCAACTCCTGGGCTCCAGCGATCCTCCTGCCTCAGCCTCCTGAGTACCTGGGACTACAGGCACAGGGCACCATGCCCAGCTAATTTTTGTATTTTTTGTAGAGATGGGGGCGTCTTGCTCTTGCTCAGGCTGGTCTCAAACTCCTGGCCTCAAGCCACCGTGCCCAGCCAGTTTCCTCTTTTTAAAGATATCTTCAGAGTTTTGTTTGTCTTTGGTTCATTTTCCTCCACCATCCTTTAAATGTTGGTGCTCTTCCTCCCATGCCCTGATTCCATCTTGGGTCATTTTCTTTTCTTTTTTTTTTTTTACCCTTTTCCTAAGCCATCTTCCCATTCCTCATGGTTTAGGCCATTACTTCTAAGCCAATGGCTCAAAAATATTTATCTACGGCCAAAATATTTATGCTGAGTTCCAATAAAGGGTATCCAAATGTCTACTAAATATTTCTGCCTGGATGTCTCACAGACATTTCAATCTCAACATGTCTTAAACATCATCTTCCTGCCCAAAATTGCTCCTCCTCCAATTGCTCCTAGTTGCCATAGGATTTCTTTCATTTTTGTATCCTATTCTCATAGACAAAGAAAGTCCTCAATAAGTATTTTGCGAAGGAATGAGTACACTTACATGACATATGTTTGTGTGTCACATCACTTAGGAACCTTTTCATTAAAAGTTAGAGACTTTAAGTTGGCTGGACACAGTGGCCCATACCTGTAGTCCCAGCTACTCAGGAGACTGAGGCGGGAGGACCACTTGAGGCCAGGAGTTGGAAGCTGTAGTGCACCGTCAATGCACCTGTGAGTAGTCACTTCACTGCAGCCTGGGCAACATAGGGAGACCCTGTTTTTTTAAAAAAAAAAACATGTTACAGAAATAGACCATAGATAGCTATCTGAAGTAAAAGTGAAATTATTTAGAAGAATATAAGTGGCTCACAGGAGTCTGCAGGAGAAAGAAAGAACAAGCTTGGAAAATGAGCAGGAACCAAGGCACTCACTGAAGACCAAGAAACAGGAAGCACAATTGTTTTTCAGCAGGAACCATTTATCCAGGACACCATGGTCCCTGGTGCTACATGAGTTGGTCACTGCACTGGAGGACAGCATCTGTTATGAATAAATTCTGATCATCCCTTCATCTTTGCATCTTGATCAAGAGCCAAAGCCCCTGGAGGCTGCACCCAGTGGCCTAGCCCAGGTCACATGCTCTCATTTACCCTGGTTACTCAGGGCATGGTTTTTCATTTAGACTATACCCAAAGGAAGAGTCCTCCAGAATAAGAAGTGAAGAGTTTAATGTGGATAACCAAACCAATATGACATAGGATTTTTTTATCCCCATTTTCCAGATGAGGAAACTAAGGCTCAGAGAGCTCAAGTAATGGTGCAAAGTCATACAGCTAGTATGTAGCAGACCTGGGATCATTCCCACAGTGTTCCAGAGGTAGTGCTCTTACCTGTTCAGTATATGGTCTTCTATGCATACTCTAGTCTGAATCTGTATTAAATTCGCTTCCCTGATAGTGAATTCAGTCTCATACCCTCTCCTTTCCTTTTCTCCTCTTTTCTAACACTTGACTCCATCTTCACCTTTCCCAGACAGCCTCTGGAGATTGACATGAAATTTTCCCTTTTCTGAATTTTCAAGGTATTTTCAATTTGAACCTTTCTAAGACTGTCCTTGATAATTCACTGATATTTAAAACACTTAATTGTACATATCTCTATCTCTGTATCTATCACCTTGTTAAAATATAACCTTGGAATTCTTATTTGTTTTCTTGCTATTTATTTTTATTTTTATTTTTGAGATAGAGTCTCGCTTTGTTGCCCAGGCTAGAGTGAGTGCCATGGCATCAGTCTAGCTCACAGCAACCTCAAATTTCTGGGCTCAAGCGATCCTCCTGCCTCAGGCTCTCAAGTAGCTGGGGCTACAGGCATGTGCCACCATGCCTGGCTAATATTTTCTGTATGTATTTAGTTGTCCAGCTAATTTCTTTCTGTTTTTAGTAGAGATGGGGGTCTTGCTCTTGTTCAGGCCAGTCTCGAACTCCTGACCTCAGGCAATCCTTCTGCCTCGGTCTCCCAGAGTGCTAGGATTACAGGCGTGAGCCACCGCGCCCAGCCCTAATTTGTTTTCTTCTTACTACTCCTAGGATTGAGTATTCAGTAGGTACGGAACAAAATTTTGTTGAAAAGAAATCAGGTCTGGAACAGGATTCTTTCAGCTGGACAGGAGGCTCCTAAGTGGTGTTTAAGAACTATTGGAGTTCACCTCATGTTACCCTCCTCTTGCCCCTTCCCACTCTTCTATATTCTATTAGGGTCCAGATTTTTGAAAAAAAATTTAATTCCCTAATGATGTCTTATACACTTCTGTGTAAATAGAGAAGAAAAAGAAAAATCTACCAAGAAAGAACCTGAGCCTCTGGTTTAAGAGCTCTTTCCTGATAGATCTGGATTCAAACTCTTCACCTCATACTAACTCTAGAATATCAGACAAGCTATTTAATCACTCAGAACCTTTGTTTTTTCATCTGTGAAGAACCTATTCATTACAAGGATTGAAACACATACACATACATACACACACGGTGGGTACTTGGCACATCTTTTTCAATCTCCCATTTGCATATAAAAAACCAGAGACTCAGAGAGGTTATTTGCCAAGTTAACATAGCTTTACATGCTGCTGCACATATATTAGGCACACACATATTTGTTGAATGAATTTGTTTCCAATCTTTCACTTACAAGTTGCAATAAACATCCTGGTGTATATATTTTTCCAAACTTTGCCAGTATTTCTAGAGAATGCATTTATTTCTAGAAGAAGAATTGCTGAATTCAAAGTGTCAGCCATATTTCAAAAACCTTCTATTGCGACTCGTATCCAGCAGGCCCTCAGTTGATGTTTCCTTCGCTAATTTCTTTCTCGCGATGCCTTCCGGGAGTTGTAGTCTTTGCGATGCTTGCTGGGAATCCTGGTCTGAGCCAGTCTCAGGAAGCGGGCAAGGACGAACGTATTACGAGACGGGCTTTAGGACCCGGCGGGGGACGGCGGGCCGGGGAGGTCGGGAGCGCACCCGTGAGCCCGGAGCGGCGGCGGCGTTGGTGGCGTCGGGAGCGAGCGAGTCCGGGAGCGGCGCGGGTGGTGGAGGAGGAGCCGTGAGCTCGGTAAGCGGCGCCAGTCCGGCCCGGTCCTCGAACCTGGCCAACCCCTGCGGGTTCAGCCATACTAGGCCTTGGCCCTGAGGCGGCTCTGGGGGCGGGGCCTGCGCTTGTCGCGGGGACGACAGGGTGACGAGGGGCGGTGCGGGGGGTTGAGGGAAGGAGGGAGGGAGAACTGCTGCTGAGGCTGCGTGTGGCGGGGAGGGCTGGGTCTGGGGGTGGCTGAGCCAAGCGAGAAGCGGCTTCGCTCCTTCAGCCGCTGGTCCTTTGGACCACTTGGTCCCAGGCACGTCTCCCTTTCCCCGTCCCTGCTGGGGCCTTTTGGTAGCCGAGGCGCTGACCTTTGACCCCAGCAGGGGCTGACCTCGACCCTTCCAGCTGCCTCGAGAGCCTCTCCTCTCAAGTCGTATCTGGCCCTGGGGTGCGGGCGTGGGGCAGACCTCTGAGAAAGACTAGAAGAAGGCTGGTGGGTCTGAAGATTCCAGGTGTCCCGGAAGGGCTCTCATCCCCTCCCCTCCAGTCTCTGACCTACAGGCTTTAGCCCACCCTTCACCCTGAACCAGTGAAGCTACTGTGTTTTCTTGGGGTTACTTGGTGCGAGCCCTGGAAA